GTAGGAGGAGGAACAGTCTCATAAATAGCTTTCAGATGGGGCCACATGTCCTTGTGGGCGTGTACCACAGCCTCAAGAGAATCAAGCAATTGACTGTTATCAAACAGCAATTAATTCAGCTTTTAAAGTGGGGAGGATGGAAGGGGGGGGTCTTCCAAACATGATTTCAAATGGAGTTAAACCTAACAGAGTGAGTTTTGCACCCTATATAGAGCAAAGGGAAGGAGAGCCACCCAGTCCCCGCCAGTCTCCATGGTTAATTTATTAAGGGTCTCTTTTAGTGTTCTATTCATCCTCTCTACCTGTCCAGAGCTTTGGGGCCTGTATGTACAAAGTTAGTAAGGGACTCTTAGTGTTCTATTCGTCCTCTCTACCTGTCCAGAACTCTGGGGCCGGTAGGCACAATGTAGTTTCCATTTTGCCCCCAATACGTTCACTAACTCTTGTGTTACCTGCGAGGTGAATGCTGGTCTGTTGTCTGAGCTCAGTGGGGTACGCTTCAGTCCATCCTGAAAAAGTATCTACCAGAACTAAAAGATATTTATAACCATATTTGCCCGGTTTTATCTCTGTAAAGTCCATTTCCCAGTGGGCTCCAGGCTTGGAGCCTCTCAACCGGGTCCCCTGTTCTTTGGCAAGGTTCTCAGCATTCGTCAGCCTACAGCTAAGACATTTGGAGGCAATTGAATTGATATATGATTGGAGGTTCAGAACCTTGAGATGGGTGTTTCTTAGGAGGTCTTCTGTCTTTCGAGTGCCCAGGTGGGTGGTCCGGTGGATGTGATTGAGAAGATCTTTGGCTAGGTTACTTGGCAGGATAATACCGCATGCCACTAGGCATCAATCTTTTGGGTCATGGGAAGTTTGTGTATCAGCTTCAGTTCTTCCTGAGAATAATCAGGTTGGTCTGGTAGCACGGGTGGCCCTGGGTCCGGCAGATGGGTAGCCAGAACTGAGGTTGTTTTCAGGGCCATCTCCTGGGCAACCTGGTCTGCCTCTGGTTTCCTCGGGCTATAGGCATATCTGTCTTTTGGTGCCTGGGGCAATGGATGATAGCCAGTTTCTTAGGTAGCCATAGGGCAGCCAGTAAGTCTAGGATTTCTTGTTTATTTTTAATAGTCTTTTCCTCAGCTGTGAGCAGCCCCCTCTCCTGGTAGATGGCTCCATGTACGTGGGTTGTGGCAAAAGTATACCAGCTATCCATATACACATTTAATTTTTTTGTCCTTGCCCAATTTAAGAGCCTCGGTCAAGGCTATCAGCTCAGCCCTCTGGGCTGAAGTTCCTGCAGGTAGAGCCGCCACCCAGACAGTTTCAGTTTCTGTTACTACTGCTTCCCCCTGCATACCTCTGTCCATTTTGCACAAAACTGCTGCCATCAGTGAACCAAGTGGCTTCTGCATCAGGAAGTAGCTGATCGGTCAGGTCTTTTCTGAGCCTGTGCACTTGGCTCAGGATTCCTGCGCAATCGTGCAAGGGCATGTCCAGGTCCAGATCGGCAGCAGGGTGGCTGGATTGAGGGCTGTGCTTGGGAGAAAATGATTCCTCGGGGGGTTAAGGAGTAAGCTTTGATAGTGAGTCATCCGGGCATTGCTCAACCAGTGGTTGGGTGGCTGCTCGAGAACTCCCTGGATGGCATGAGGGGTTGTGGTACATAATTCTTGTCCTCAGATTAACTTGTCTGCATCCTTGACTAGAAGGGCCATGGCTGCTATAATTCACAAATATGGCGGCCACCCAGCGGCAACTGCGTCCAGTTTTTTTGACAGATATGCCACTGGCCTATTCCAGGGCCCCAGAGTCTGAGTTAGGACTCTTTTGGCCACTCCCTTCTTTTCATCGATGAAAAGATGCAAAGGCTTAGTAACATCCAGAAATCCTAGGGCTGGGGCGGCTAGGAGGGCCTGTTTGATCTTACTGAAGGCCTCTTTCTGGACCTCCATCCTAATGAAGGGCTCGCTTTCCCATGTGACTTGATAGAGGGGCCTTGCCAGTTCAGCGAATCCTGGGATCCATAAGCGACAGAATCCTACTGACCCCAGGAACTCCCTCACTGCCCTCCGGGAATGAGGGGTGGGTATTTTCAGCACTGTTTCTTTCCTGGCATCTGTAAGCCATCTTTATCCTTCTTTTAATATGTATCTCAAATAGGTGACCTCTCTCCAGCATATTTGGCCTTTCTTGGCGGATGCCCAATATTCCAGTCTACCTAGGGTTGCCAAGAGGTCTCTAGTTCCCTGCTGACACTGTGAGGTGTCAGCAGCAGCTATCAAGATGTCATCCACGTATTGTAATAGGGTGAGCTGGGGGTGTTCCAGCTGGTACTCACTGAGGTCTTCATGGAGAGCCTCATCAAACAGAGTGGGTGAATTTTTGAATCCCTGCGGCAGGTGGGTCCAAGTCAGCTGCCCATTGAAGCCGATCTCCTGGTCTTACCATTTGAAAACAAAGAAGGGCTGGCTCTCTTTGGCCAGAGGCAGGCTAAAGAAGGCATCTTTCAAGTCTAACACCGTGTACCAGTTTCTGGAAGGTGGCAAGGAACTCAGGAGAGTGTAAGGATTAGGTACTGTTGGATGAACATCCATAACTCACTTGTTTACCTCTCTCAAGTCCTGGACTGGCTGATAGTCAGTTGAATTTGGCTTTTTTACTGGCAGGAGGGGGGTGTTCCAATTTGATCGGCAAGGCACCAAGACGCCTTGATCCCTCAGGCATTGGATATGAGGCGTGATCCCCAGCCTGGCCTCCTGGGACATCGGGTACTGTTTAACTCTGGCCAGTAGGATTCCAGGCTTAAGCTCTATCCAGATGGGGGCCTGGTGGGTAGCCAGCCCCATGCCCCCTGTCTCAGCCCAGGCTGTGGGGAACTCCTTTAGCCAGGTGGAAACCTCCTCTGGTATAGAGGCCAGTTTTTGATGTCATCTAAACTTATCTTCCAGTTGTAGGGTGAGTACCTGGATCAGGTGGCCTTCTTGGTCAGTCATTTGGGCCCCACTAGGGGTGAAATGAATGTGGGCTCCAATTTTGGTGAGCAGGTCTCTGCCCAGGAGTGGGACATCCGGCCCTTGCCCAGGTCCGCTTTTCTTTGTGTGGTCCATGAGTATTGGTTCATGCCAGTAGCCCCCCGTACCCAGGACTTTTTATGTGATAGGTTTCCTTGGAGCTCAGTTAATACCAAGTATTGGGCACCCATGTCTACATGGAAGCTCACGGGCATTCCCTCAACTTTGAGGGTTACCCTAGGTTCAGGGAGGGGATCCGAACCCTAAACCCCCTAGTCACTCATTTCTCCGAGCTCGAGGATTTGCACTCCTTCTCGGGCCCTGCCTCACCCAGCAGGTTTTTCTGGGCAATCTTTCATCCAGTGGCCCATCTTTTTGCAATAGGCACATTGGTTCCTCTGTAACCTTGGTCGCCCTTCCCGGGGTTTCCTACCTGAGTCCGCAGAGAGGTAGCACAGTTGGCATTCCTGCTCATCAGGCGACTTTGTAGTCGAGGCCAGAAGGATCTTAGTGAAGTCTTGGGTCTGCTTGGTGCTAGCAGCGGCTATGGCTCGAGCCTGTTTTTCTTCCAGGCTTTCTCTGTGGTTATAGACCCCCTCTGCCACTGCCAAAAGCTCCGGCAGAGTCTTATCTGCCAGCCTATCTAGTTTTTGTAACTTGCGCCTAATGTCAGGTGCTGACTGGTTGACAAAGGCCAATATGACTGCTTTCTTGTTTTCTGGTGCCTCTTGATTCATGGCTGTATAAGTGCAGAACACCTCAAGGATCCTCTCTAAAAAGGTTGCCAGGGATTCTGTCTTTTCTTGCTGCACATCACTAATCTTAGCCAAATTAGTTGGGTGCCTTGTGGTGGCCCGGAGACCCCCCTATTAGAGTCTTGCAGTAGACCTGGAGCCTCTCCTTACCTTCTGCTACATTGAAGTCCCAGTTTGATCAGACTAATGGGAAGGCTTCATCGATCAGCGCCTGGTTGGTGGTGGGATTCCCATCCACCCTGGGGACCAGCTTCCGGGCCTCAGCTTGCATCCGGTCCCTATCCTCAGTGGTAAAGAGAACCTGCTGGTAAATAGCTGCTGGATGGTCCCAAGTGGGCTGATGGGTGAAAAGAACAGACTCTAACAGATAACAAGGCCCTTTGGTTTCTCAGAGAATTTCGCTGTTTGCAATTTCCAATTGTAAAGGTCACTGGTGGCGAATGGCCAATATTGCATTTGTTGGTACCCTGCCTCATTAAGGGGGTCCCACTGCCCTTAAGGGAAGGACAGTGGGGTCTACTGCTGCTTGCGGCTGTCCTCTCTGGACCCTCCTCCGAGTATGGGGGGGTCTCATCCCTAGGGGCTTGGGCTGCCTCAGCCTCTCCTGGGGGCTCTAAACACCCTGGTTGTGCTGGCGGTCTGGACAGATATGGGGGAGGCTCACACAGAAGTTCTTCCTCCGTTCTGTGCTGGAGGACAGGATAAAGTGGGGTGGACACTTTAGTTTTACTTTTTTGCCATTTGTCCTCGTGCAGGGCGAGGATGGCTGTCTTTGAAATTTGTGGTGGTAAAAATGGTTTGAGCCATTCGGGGGGCGGGCTCCTCAACCAGGGCCTGCCAGGTTGGGGTGTCCTGGCTGCCTGAAAATAATATTTTTAACCTTGAAAATAGTGGGGAGGTCAAACATTCCTCCTTCCAGCCATCCAGCGTCAGTGGTTGGCCATTCAGTCCTGCAAAGGACAAAGAGTCTGCCCTTTTTGACTTCCAGTTCTTGTTCTCTAGCCTTCTTTTTGAAATCAGAAAAATGATCCTGGAAAAGACTCAAAGGTGTTACTTGACTTTGTCCCATGTCTGTAACTAGGTAAGTCACAAATAACACGGACAACACAGAGACACACTGACAAAACAATACTTCTCGGCGCCTTAAACAAGAACTGAAAGTGGGATGTCGGCCTCTCACCATTCTGCGGGCACAACCCACCTTTCCCTTCTAAAGTTACAAGTGGGATCCAATCCCTTTCAGGTGGGTCCAGGATGTCTCCCAAGTCCCATGGCCTGGGGTCTTCCAGCGCGTCCGCCTAGACCTCCAACAGGCTAACAAGGTAACTGGGCCCAAAACCAAGCACGCGCAACACACACAAGGACAAAGACACTTACTGGCTGGATCAGGCTCAACACTCCGGGGCTCCTGGAGGCGGGGGGGGGCCCTTGGGGATCCCGGACAAGCCCCCAAATGTTGCACCCCAGTCCTGCCACCCCCCAATGACCACCAAGGAGTCCAGAGAGCATGCAAAAGCAAAGAGCCTTTATTTGGGCTTAAGTACGGGCCCTCAGATTTCACCAACTCAGCAGTTCCATACTGAGAGCCCCTATCTAAGGTGGGGTAGGTTTTTATAGGGAAGTTTCATAGAAGCCCGAGCACGCCAAACATCCTTTAAAATGATTGGATGGTCCTATGCCCTGAGTACGGGGAGGATTCTTATTGGTAGGGGCTGTCTTTAGGGCATTGGAATGCGCTGTTATCTGTGGGGCCAGAAGTTCCTATTTTTACCTTATAAGGCTGCTCAGGCTTTTTACCTTATAATGCTCAGGCTTTCTTGATCTATAGCTTTCCAGGATGGGGTGGTAACTGAAGATTACAACATGCCTGGGCATGCCCAGGCTTTCCTGAAACAGCTAGTCAAAATGGAGTTAGTGTCATCTTAAGCCAAGCAGATAACAGAAGCAAAAAGAAGTGGTTAGACAAGTCAGAATCTCACAGTTTCCTATGTGTTGATCCTCCTCTTCGCAGACTGGACACTGGTTTGAGTCCCTCTGATGGGGTCTTCATGACCTTCCTGAACAAGAGGACAGGTGACTCATCACAGTTACAGGACATATCAAGAGATTCCCAAAGGCCCCTGGGACACTGTTGACCTTCCAGGGCAAGGAACAAAACTGTCCCTTAAGCCTTTGTCCAGATTAGTGCAGGCTTTTAAGTATGGTTATTAACCATCCAAGAATGTCAGTTGTACCAGCCTGGTACCTTTAATTACTGTGTAATATATAGATAAGGCTTGAACAAAACCCATAGTTCTCAATAAACATTGACTGGAAGAGATTTACTGTCACAGGTCAACTAGGCACAGCCCAGGAGAGGGACCTTAAAACAAGAATTTCCTAAAGCTGGGCATGGTGGTGCATGCCTTTAATCTCAGCACTCAGAAGGCAGAGGCAGGAGGATCTCTGTGAGTTCAAGGCCAGCCTGGTCTACATAGTGAGTTCCAGGACAGCTGGGGCTACAGGGAGACCCTGTCTCAAAAAGACGAAAACCCAAAAAACAAGAATTTCCTAAGTCTGTCTCAAATGAAGGCTGTTCTGTTACAAACAGAAGCAGTCTTCTTTTAGTTTTCTATATCCTGATTTACAGTTTTCAGAAGGGAGGGAGGTATCATATCACATATTTCCTATAGACAGACAAAGCTTCACCGAAACTGTTTTCTTCTAGATTGCATACATCTGGTTCAAGGAGGTAGCCCTAGGTTTTTTTTTTTTTTTTTTTTTTGAGCCAAATCATTCTTGTTATGGGCAAAAGCAAGTGCCAAATATAACATTTGCATAATACAGAGAAACATAAAAGACGTCTTTTGGTAGCCGTAGGTAACCCAATACTTGTCTGCATCTATTTAATTCAAATCTGTAACCTGTTGTGCAGTACAAGCCAGGAGTGGACTGAAAATTAACAACTCTGTATCTTGATAAACCTGTTCAGACATTTTAATAAGTCTGCTTAAAATAAATTTCATTATCCCTTCTATTCTGGAAATAGCCTGTCATTTTAATTTATATATACATATATACATTTGCACAAAAATATGTCTTTACTACTATAGTCCTTTTTAAATTCAGGAGACCATTTGCAATTAGGGCAGAATTGCATACAGTTGGCTGGGAAGACTGGCTGGATACTCAGGTGAGGGTCCAATGAACTTGCTTATCTCCCTTTTAATGAAGGAATAACAACTGTCAGCAAGCCCAGTTGTGATGATCTTTTATAAACAGGCCCAGCTGAAGTTGTGAAGATGGTAGTTCTTTGACTTAGAAGAGTGAAGAGCAGCAGCATCTTATTATATAAGATAATACAATTAGTTAATATTACCCATATACACATTGTGCTTTAAATTCCCAGGTAGACCTTATAGAAAACACAAAACCATTAAAATCTTTTACTTTGTGTAGTTCAGAGAGTGGTCTATCAAAGAAGGTGTATAAACACAAGGTAAAGAAAAGCAACTGGCACCCAACTTCCAGCATACTCAAGGAAAACTGTGCTCTAATACTGCTCAGACTTTATAAACCCTTTTAGTAATATTTATAAACAAATTTACCAAGCAACTAATATTTTACCTCATTTATAGAGATGAACAATTATCTTAAATATATTATTATACTGTATAAACTTTGAGATGTCCTTATAAGCCTCAAAGCAGGTTTTCAACGACCAAGTCTCCTTTAAAAGT